TGTTTATATTTCTACTTTTGTGCAGCACTTTGGTCCTTTTTGTTTTTTAAAGTACTATATAATTAAAATTGGATTGGACTGGAAATTTTTATTAATAGGTTCCTAATAGGTTCCTGTTTCTATATGTCATATATATAAAATTAATGTAATTATGTTTAAGAGAAAATTTTAGTTTTTTTAGTTTTTAGAAATCTAATTATGTGCTCTTTCTTGTTAAAATGCAAGATAAAAAAAAATGCAACAAATACTGAGACCTTTAGATTATGGAAAGTTAGAAGATATAAATTGGATGCAATGTAAAAAGAACAACAAACTCCACTTGCTATATTTTTCCATGCTACTCTTACCCAGCTCACCTTGTTCCTCACACCTCTGTCACAGAGAGGTGATTGATGGGGAGGTGATTACATGGGATAAGGTCCTGCTCCCACCCACAGCGTCTAAACAGAGCCCAGTTCCTCGCAGAGTTCTTCAACGTTCTTCTATCTGTGTTTTCATCAAAACAAGCCTCTCTGTCTGTCGCCTCTAGCGTTTATTTTCTGACAGATATTCAGTCAACCCATAGAAAAGTACAACCATTCGTGCATGATGGGCAGGTTCAACCACAGCTATGTGATTAAAGGCAGAAAAATATCAGTTATTTCACGCTTATGTAAAACAAGCCATCTGTTTTTCTGCCAGAGTTTCCTCTAAGAATTGTACATCACATCACAAAACCTCTAGTTTATCAAACTGGCAGACCTCATCATGAGGCAAACAGGACGCTGGTGTTCACCTGGGATGCACATGGTGTCAACATGACATCCTGGCAGGGAGCCTGGAGCTGCAGAGGCACGTCAACTATCACAGGGGGCAAAAAGCCCCCCGCCATCTATTGGGATGAATAGGACATTTAGTCCTTCAACAGACCTTCAGCAGAACATCAAAATCTAAATGAAAATCCATAATCCATTGTTGATTTATAATCCAGAAGGGATTAGGGAGCAAACCATTTGTTTGGATTTTTTCCTCAATGCAGAATCAGAAAAGCATTTCTAGGTCATGATTCTAAATAAACCTTTCAGATGTGGTAAAGCTGGGCCTGACTGTAAAGCTACAGTCTGTAAAGACACTTCAGCTTTGGATAGATTTTTCTATAATCATGTTAATGGTCTCATGAGCTGAAAAAAGGAAGAAAAGCAGCGACTTTTCACGAGTTTTCTTATAGAATGGTATTTCCCTTTTCACAAACGGATCGATAATGCACAACATAAAATATGGACTATTCGTTTGAACTCTTGAGGTTAAGTGCAGCATCTCTGCGGAAGCTTTAGGGGTCTCAAACATTTTCTTTTTAGCAAATGTCTTTTTTCAAAAACAGTAATGTCTCATGGTGGCAAAAGATTGTTTGCTATTAGAACAACTAAATATACTCTCCATCCTTCTTCCATCCAGTCAATGGGTGAAAGGCAGGGTCCACCCTGGACAAGACGCCAGTCTATTGCACAAAGACCTACAAGCATATACACACACACACACACACACCCTCACACCTAAGGACAATTTGGAGAAGCCAATTAACGTAACAGTCATGTTTTTGGGCTGTGGGAGGAAGCCAGAGTACCCGGAGAGAACCCATGCAGGCCCAGGGAGAACATGCAAACTCCAAGCAGAAAGACCCCAGACTGAGGATTGAAGCCTTCTTGCTGCAAGACAACAGCGCTACAGACTGCATCACCGTGCAGCCCAAAACCAAACACAATGTCAAGTTAGCCTTCATGTGTGATATCCAGATGCTGTTAGACAAAGATTCAAAAATAAAATGTATTCCTACAAAATCTAACATTTTTTTTCTTTTTAAATCCACTTAGTGTCATGATAAAATGAGAAATGACAGAAAATAGTTTTGGAAATAAACTTTGATTGCAATCCTTCCTTTTGGGAGTGTTGGCAGGCCCTGGTATGAAAATATGAGCTGCAAATAGCTGGTTTATGGTTATCAGTATACATCTAAGAACAAAAAGTGATGAAAAGATGTCACTCTGAACAAAGGGTGTCAAAGGACAGAAAAACAGAAAAACATACTTCCCACTGGGCAGACAGAGCAGGGAGAAGCAGCAATGGCTGGCCAGTGTCTGTGCTGGAGCTAAAGCCCCATTTACTCTACCCTTTTGAAGCCGTGCTGAGATCGGTCCAAGCACGGACAGAGTGTAAATGGCACGCACAACTGAACCGCACCATGCCAGACACAACTGAACCCTGCTAACCATGGTACTGGTTCATCAGCAGGGCTCTGCGTGGTTCAGTTGTGGCGCGATTTTCAGACAAAGAACGTATGGCCAGACCGCGTCATCTCCTTACAGTCAGCCCCAATAATCATGACATTTCACACATTCATAAAAATACTAGCTCCCCTACCGTGCCACATGATTTCTAGTGATGATTCTGCTGAGCAGTGTGATAAACCTCATTCCTGTCATTGTTTCCTGCGTCTGTAAGCCCTGAGTAGTTTGTCTATCCACTTCCCTAAAGCTGAATCTGTCAAGTGAATTCATCAAAGGCTGTCTTCTTCACCTGGCTCTCCATAAACTTCCTGAATGTTACGGGCGCCGCCATGTTGATTTGCTTGTTTTCCTCTAGAGAGCAGGAGTACCATATATCGTCACTATGAGGCTAGAACCGTGCTAGTGTGGTGTAGAAATGGTCGTAAGGAACCGAGCTCGGCGCAGTTAACCGATCCAAGCTCGGCACGGATCGGTTTTCAGAGGGTAGTGTGAATGGGGCTTAACTCCAAAGAGTTATTCTAGGGTAAATAGTACCTCTTTTTTAAGCTAATTACAAACCTATTATCGTATTCCCTACTTCATTCTTTAACATTTTTTTCTCCATCTCCCATTTTGACTGAAAAAATCTCGTCTTGCTGCATCACAGCCACATCAGCCACAACATTCACACTGCTAGGATCACAACCTTCACCTCACCGTGAGCCCGAGCTTCCCTCTACATCGGGAGGACATGAAAATGGTTCGCTCCAACCAAAATGTTTGTGTTTATTATGAAAGCACCTAAAGGAAGAGATGGGAGCTCTACGGAACAGGAAGCCACTTTCCTTGCTTTGTGAATTCAGCATTTAGCCAAATTGGAACATGGTAGATGTCACTTTTCACCCAATGCCACTGGGTTATTTTTGGGTTTAAAATTAGGGATCAGCTGACCACTTGCCAATGCAACAACAATGCTTTGTTCTAAATTATAAGATATTTACACACTGAATATCTGATAACTTATGGGGGTAAAGTTAGTTTCACTTCCTGTTCCAAACCTTGTATCCACAAAGGTTCTATCTTTAACATGATAACAAGCTAACACAGTAATTCAGTCCAAATGCTGCCATTTTTATCTGCTAGTAGTACAGAATTAAGGATGCTGTGGAGTTCAATGTATGGGGAGTCAATATAGCTACACTAACTTCTTTGCTCTAGAAACACAAGCCAGATAAGAAGTAATGTGAAAAAAGGAGAAAAGCCACCTGAATGGTCCTTAGATGCAATCGTTTTCCACTCAAAGTGACTTTTATGCAGAATTAAGAGTCTTATTAGGAAGTTAAAAAAAAGAAGGCAGTTCTTGATTGGTCCAGGTGTGACGGAGGATTTGTGTCAGCAATGACACTTTATTCAGGTATCAACTAAGCCCTCACCACCTAACTGCTTTGTGTCACAGCACTTTGGGTTATAGAGAGAAAAAGAAATTAAACGACTATGACTATCTACGATCAACTTGGACTTCAGGAAGAACCATCCTAACCATGCTCATCAACTGCTCAGCTGTAGAGGTGGTCAGCAGCACCAAATTCCTGGGGGTGCACATCACTCCCAGGGTACATTTTTAGGGTAAATATATTTTACCCTAAAAACAAATTCTTTAAAATATGCAAATCTTAACTCGAAAAAGGAAAAAAAAACAAAGAAAATGATAATAAAAAAAAAAATTCAAATATTTCATGTTGTCCTTTTAAAACTAATAATGTGTATCATCTCATCTATCCTTACACCCGCAGTGATCCTGTTTCAAAGGCCCTGAATCGAATGGAGGTTTCTATTGGGTCTGTACAGACTTTGATGAAATGCTGAGTTGATTCAGTTATTTCAATCAACGGTGTTGGAGTAAGTATGCAAAACACATGCCCTCCAGGAAGGAAATTGGACACCAGTGGTTTAAAGTTACTTTAAAGTCTGTGACACAGCCATTAATTAGGGATATCCAGTAATAGCAGACAGACACTTTAGTCAGAGTGACGAACGGTGAACAAACATTCAGAAAATGAAAAGAAACCAAAAAAGCAGCAAAATAAATTCAAAATCTGAAGAACTTTGCTAAAATATCAAATTATCAAATAATCTACAAACAGGCCAAGAAAATAGCTCCATTGAAGATAGTTGGTGGATTTTAAAAAACTTTCCTGCTGTGGAAAAAGACGCCAACATGACAATGCACTCAAACTATAACAATCTTCCTGAACATCCTCCAGAGAAGCAGAGGTTAACGCATCTCCAAGCACATGAACCATCATAGAAAAATCATAGATTCCTTAGAAACAAACCAAAAAAGTTAAACAATCCACTGGACTTTGTTATGAAGTTTTAAACTTTTTTAATTCAAAATGTCATCAAGTTCGAAGCTTTATAGAGTGGACCAATAGAAAGCCTTGTTTTGGCTTAGAAAACAAGCAAATTGAACCGAATGAATGGGTCAACGCCTTTGAAATGGGGGTCGTTTGGTTTCCTCGTTAGTCTGTAATACCTGAAAGACATACACAGGGTCCATTCTATAGAGCTTCGACATAAAGGAATTGAAAAAGTTTCCTGGATGGGAAGTGAACTGTCTTAAAACTTGGAAAGTCCAGTGGATTGTTTTTAACCTTCTTGGAATGACTCTGACCTGCATGACTGAGAATCTTCAGCAGCACTTCGAAACAAACAGGAATCCATTTGTTCCAACAGCTGTTTTAGTAAAAGTCTTACCTCTAAAACTGGTCCTGCTCCCAGGATGATCTGCTCCACACCACTGGCAAAACCCTTTTGGCTGAGAGCCGTCAGGTGATGAATGAGGAAGTTGGTGCTCTGCGTTTTCCCCGATCCACTCTCACCAGAAATCACGATGCACTGGTTCTTCCGCCGCTGCAGCATGGCATGATACGCCACGTCAGCCACGGCATAAATGTGCGGCTCTAGCTTTCCCAGTGTGTGGTTGTCATATAGTTTGACATATTTAGGATTATAGATGGGTAAGAACTGGAAAGGGTTAATCACAATAAGAATACTCCCAACATAGGTGTAGATCTTCTCCTGTCTGAAACGGGCGCGCAGGCTGTCCAGAAGGGCACGCTCCGTCAGCTCTGGGAGAGCACACAGATCAGAGGGGGGATCGTTCCCAGCTGGCTGCGGTAGGAAACCCCGTTCCACCATGTGCCGCCGTTCCTCCGTCACCCGCAGCCACATCTGCAAGCTACCGCCATAATGTATAGAGCCGTCAAGATTTTTCTCCCGCAGTAGGAAGCGATAGTCCTCGCCACTACACAAGCCGCTGCGATTTTCCAAAGCAGTTCTGGGCCACAGCATCATGCGCTGCACAGGGCAATCCCCAGGGTTGAGGATCCATTCCTCTCCACCAAACTCCTTCACCTCAGCCAACACGTAGCATTTGGTGCGATCCAGGTGCAACCTCTCGATGAGACACTCGATGGCCTCAGCAGCGGTGGTGTTTTTGCGGGCGCCGACGGGGCAGTAAATTGTGCCCTCAGCCAGTGAACCTGGATAGACACGCAGGGTGAACTCCTGGTCTTCCAGGCGTCGCCGCATGCTGCCCGTAATGCCGGCCAGATTGGCGCTGCTGCCGTAGCTGCAGCCGCCATCTTGTAAGCTCATGGTGGTGCAGTAGGTCCCATCGGCAAACCGCTTTCTGGGACCGGAGGAATAACTCAGGACATCCCAACTAGGAGAAACAGACAAGAGGGAGAAACAGAACAAGGTTAGAAAATGTCTGCATATATTAGTAGCACATTTATCAGATTTGACCTTTAACCCACGGGATCAGTTCTTTTTTTTTTCCCATTTTAGTTCTCTTTAAAATGTCCTTGCTGTGGTACAAATTCAGTCATAATAACTTCTTATTGCATTCCTTGCAGATCTTAAAAATACTAAGCTTATGATATCTGTTTTGCGTGAAGTTTTTTTCTGGCCAACTGGCCCACAGAGCATTCCCACAGAACCAGAGGACTTTTAAGGCAGCTTTTCCTGATTGGATCAGAGAGGATTCTTTAACCCTTTAAACTGGGACTGCGATGAAAATGTATTTTCTTCATCAAACACTAGCAGCTAATAGAGTTCAATTACGCCCCATCCACCTCAAATGTTATGTTCATCTTCCTCTAGAGACCTTCCTTAGGGCAGTGGCCTCACCGGCTGGCGTCTGGCAGCCGTTAGCCATGATCGTTTCTCAATACAGGTACTTTTGCGTTTTCATGTGCTCGTGAAACATCATCATTCTCAGCCGTCTCAAGACGGACAGCTGTCCCTGCATGCATCACAGCAGCAGCTCTTATTCAGCAGTATCACTTATTCTTTTCCAGAATAAGTGAGACAACTGCCCATGTGAGGCATCCAACTTCTATAAATAAACATGAATTAACTGGAAACGCTTCTTGTTACCTCGCCGAGCCCAATTAGAGGAAACGGCCTGACTAGAGGTTATGAGACTGTTTGGTATATGCCCCTTAAAGAGTTAAACTTGCTTAATCACGCTGCAAATAAGAGAAGAAAAGCAGGCTTGACATACACCCAAATGCATCATGAAAGCTTCAGGCTTTTCCATTACTTTGAGTCACAACAGTCATTTAATTCATGGCGTTTTCATGCGTCTCGTTACCGACCAGGCCGACTGAATGAGCTTATTGTTCTTAAGAGTTAAGGAAACCACTATCACTAACAGTCGCACAACAGAAGCACGGGACCGAGTCAAAGACAGAGGCAAGAGCTGATAGCTATTCAAAACCAGCATGAGCAGCGGTTAGAGGAATTGAAGGTGAAAGACTAGGGTTTATCAGACTGCATGCATGTGCTAACGCTATGTGATAATCCAGAGGCTGTAAAAGTGTGCCAAGATTAACAGCTGCCACCTCAAACACAAGAGAGGCTTAATGAGAGGACACTGGCTTAATTCACAACGTCCCTGCTGATAGTGAACACTGCACTTTATTCTGTCACTCTTTTTCTCACACACTCAAACATACAGTCTGCTTTCACGGGCTGAACTGCTCCAATCACTGTGTAGAGCAGAGTAAATCGCTTGTTTAATTGCAACAGAGACATCATACTGTATTAATGCCACTACCGAACATTGTTTTTATTATCGCTGATATTTACAGTGCTTTTTATCGCAGCTGTTAAACCTGCAAAAAGAGAGAATTAAAGAGGACCAGACTGATCTAGAGACTGAACCATTCTCCTCTCTAAGGCGGCTTCTTTCTGTTAATGTCCAAACTATTCTACTCCAATGTTTCTCCCCAGATCTGTTTGAACATTTTAGTTAATACCTGCTTATTTTAGTAAAAGTTTTCTAGATTTAAAAAAAAAGGAAAGAAAAAGGGAAACTGTGGGAGAGGAAAAGATGAGGCAGTACTGTAGGTCGCCCTTTGGGTGCTCCAGACAGATCCTCCTCTCCCTCCTGCTGTCTGGAATAATCCTGACCACCTACAGTCGTCTGCAGCAGCCCAGCGCCACCAGACAGGGTTGGATAGAGAGGAAAAAGACAGGCTAAGTTTGAGGGCTGAAACTGTGAGGCAGAGACTGAAGAGAGATCGATGGGAGAGGAGAACAGGACTCAAAATAACAAGCAATCAGTCTTCAGACCCCTAATGAGCTGTGCAAATGGGTACAAAGTCAAGAGTTTCAAGGTTATTGGGGAGGGATGGAAATGCATTCAGCATCCATGACTCAGCTGTGCTGTTGGAGCTGTTCTGTAATGCATATATGGATTCTAACTCTAATCAGTAAACCCTAGAAACTTCCACTGCAGATCATGCAAATGGAAGCTTATTACAGGTGTCTAAAAATCACAACTGGTGAAAAATTAAACCCACAATCTGATAAATCTTAGAATAGATCCCCTAAACCAACGCTTAGAGGATGGAAACGGCCGTGTTTTCCACACAGCAAACACTTAGAGTTTCTGCACCAAGACTAAATATAGTCAAGTTTAAATAAAAACTAGGCTTTTGACAGACTGATTATGAGTTAGTGAAACAAGCTGTGTTTTATCATGCTAATTAGCTTGTCAAGCTAATAATTATAGCATTTAGCTAATTAGCTGAGTCATATTTCTGTTCCAAGATTGCAGATTCTCAGTCCCTCCTGAGGTCTGGTCCGCTCCAGGCTTTGACTCCGCCCAGCTACACAGACAAAAAAGATTTAATTGGTGGAGAGACCTATCTTCCAAAATGAGTGCCAATGGCAACAGTTTTGGAAAATCACAGACAGCTGCATGAAACATTGTTTTTCTGTGGTCTTTGGGTGAGATTTATATGGGTTGGTTGTCAACTTGGTGACTCTGTCACTTTATTTGGTGACTTTTCAAACCCATCTAAAGCCGGGCATACACTGTGATTTTTTGCCCTTTTCGGGACGATTTTCCAGCTGTGCAAGAAATGTTTCAATCAGGCCGAGTTTCCTCCTCGCCGTGGGTCCTGCGTCGTGTAGTATAACAAGGGTTGATTAGCCACTCACGACCACCTCCAGATCAGGAATCGTAAGATGGGGAGAAAATTAAACCTGTTTGAAAATCAGTCGGCCGTCGTAAGGTGGTCGTGGGCAAATCCTGCTGTTTAAGCAGAACTACGAGCCGATTTATCAGAACCTCGAGCATAGCACATGTGCAAACAAGGGAGTTCTTCCTCTTCCAGATTGACGAGTCCGACCAGCTCCATTTCTCGGTGCGACGGGTGGTTTTTAAATGTGCAATGTGAGCAGGTAGATCGCATCAGAGCGTCGGGCCGCACACTGTGAGAACATGCATTGTGTTAACCTGACTCCGCCAGATGGATTTGCTCTGCATATCCATCTGATAATCCAGGTTTCCAGATGGATATGCGGAGCAAATCCATCTGGAAACCTTCCGCTAAAGTAATTTTGGGAAGGGGCGAAAATACTGGTTAGCTGATTGGCCTATGTTGGTGATAGACGGGCCAAATAAACCAATCAGATCAACGAAGCATATGACGTACTAACAGAGCGACAACGAAAACACAACCACAAGCCAGGCTACTCTTGCCGAAACCAGTCGGGAGAAGAGCAAAAACATCTTTTTCTCTGAGAAAAGCCTCCAGAGCAGTGTTTTGCTCTTCTTTCAGTGAAGAAATACATGAAGCCGGCATGTTCTTTAGACTAAACTGTCGCGCTTCTCGTTGCGTCACACCTCAACCCGCCTCAAAGCCAACGCTGATTGGACGTTCGTTTGGTGAACGACTCCAAATTTTCTTTAACGGAGAGTCTCCAGACTGATCTGCAAGTGAAACCTTGAAAGCTCACGAGATCAGGATGGTCTCATGAGGCTAGCATTGTGTAGCTAGGTACAAAGATTGAAAATATTGCACATTCTATGCCCAGCTTAACAACTAGTGACTTTTTTTTTCTCCAAATAAATATCTAGATACAAATCTAGTAACTTCAGTGAGGAATGAGAAAGCCTCCTTTCCTGACAGTGACTCAGACGCAGCAGCTGCAGCCCACGCCTCCAGTCAGAGAGAGCAGAGTAACTGTCCTCTGTTGCCAAACACCTGATCAAAGCATTCACTAATCACTTTAAAAAGTGGGATGTAAATATAACATTAAGCTTTTGACTCCAATTACCAAATATGAAGACTGGTTGATGACGTTGGTAAGCAGCCTTTAGGGCAGCAAATAATGAGTTTTCCTTGTTGGCAAATGTTTTGCACTGGCAAAATGAAAGTGCAAGAATGAGAGCGAAAACTAAATGCGTGAGATTGTGTAGAAACATGACGGTGCGTAGAAGTTTAACCTCAGTCATCACTTATTTGAGCAGAGTGGCTCAGACCTCTTCAGTTGGTTCCTCTTCTGATTTCTGAGGTCTTGCTGAGTATCATCATTCAGAGTTATAGGACTGAAAGCTGCTTGTGACGGCCGCTCTCATGCCTTCCCGTCACCAGATGCTGAAAGCAAACGGTGCAGTTTCTTCTGATCAAAATGGATGACAGACTGAGTGACTAATCTGTCACATACTTCTCACTACAGGGACACATTTACACCAAATGTATGAAGCAGAGCAACATATTTATTTTCTCCCGTATCTGTAGCTACAGGTTTGTATGAGGTTCTGGAGGACTGAGTCACAGGAGAGTACTATATAGTTGTGTATGGATACTTTACACTATAAAGAGGAAGCAAAAGATTCAACATGAGAATCTGAACAATCAGTTGGTATCTTGGAAGTTCTTATGTGAAATATATCCTCAGAGAAAACAAAACGCTGCTTTATTTCCAGCACCAGCAGGAATGACTTGTTCCAAACCGTTTTTATGGAAAATTGTAGGGCTGCAACAATGAATCGATAAAATCGATAAAAATCGACTTTTAAAAGCGTTGGCAACGAATTTAATCATCGATTAGTTGTGTCGCGCGATTAATGCGTCATCCGCCGCCGCCGTCATCCCGGGGAAGAAAAAAAAATATGGCGGAGCGAGTCAGCGCCGCAGTTGCGGTGTTGCCAACTCAGCGACTTTTCAGACCCCTCCAGCGACTATTTTTTTAAAAAGCGACTAGCGACAAATCTGGCGACTTTTTACGGTGTCACTGGCGGCTTTTGGAGAGTCTTACGTGAAAGCATGTATCGTTCCTACTCTTGTCCTCCAGCGGCAGCTGCTGCCGTGGGGCGCCTCCCCCATCCCGACGCCTTTCTCCCTCTCCCACAAGAATCCCTCT